CAGCAGGTTAGCACAGCTGATCAAAGGAGCAGCCAGCACCTGAGGCAGACCCTTCTTGGTAAGGATCTGCAAGTGGCACCAAAACCAGGGATTTGGGCCTGTGCAAAACTGGCCACAAAGCCTCAGACCAGGTGTCTCTGGTGTCAGCTGCTAGGGGACATGTCACTGTACAGCCTGGAGTCAGCAAACTCAGGCCCTGCTTTACCTGAGCTTAAAGGTTAATGGCCACTGACTTCTCATCTGTTAGAATCCAGCCCACTTTGGTTTAACTTAAAATCATAAAGCAGATTTGTCTTATGGGTTAGATCTGTGGATATTCTATTTATTATAAAGCAAAAAATGTCTAGACTGAAAGGAGATTTGCCTTTGTTAACAATTTAAAACATATTTTCAAATAATTCTCTTTATGTTGATTATGATTCGAAACAACTGCACAGGCAAATCAATTCCCAAGAAACTACAGTATATAATCAACACACATAATTAACTTCATTTTGGGTCTGACCAGATGCAAAGGAAGATAAGCTTTAAAAAGAAAACTGGGGGCATTGTGTAAACCAGGACAGTAGTCTCAAAGAATATTTTTTAAAAGAGATGTAACCACTGAGTATTAAGCATGAGGTTACACATCAGCTGTAATGCATTTATACTTTTGCAATACAAGTTTAAGGGATCCAGCATTTTATCTTCCATTTTCAGAAGCTGTAGCTAAAAATCCGGACCAAAAAGGAATTCCATGAATCAAGGCCAATTGTAAGTTTTCTGCTAACCCAGCTGGGGATATTTGGAAAAGGTAGTGAACTTTACCTAGTAAGTCACATATTAGATTTATTTATGTAGAACAGAAGAGTAGTAATGCTGGGGAAGAAGCAGAGAGTTGGATTAAGTAAAACAAGCTGACATGTATATGTACAGGGCATTTTGTAATAAAGAAATTACTACTTTGCATTTTTATACCTCCTTTTATTTCTGTGTTTTACAAACACAGAAACACTTTCCCTCTTGCAGGATGACCATATCATTCATTTCATACTAAAGAATAAAGCAGGAACAAATTTGGATTTGTTGTTCTTTAGATATGCAAGAAATCTTTTCTTCACTAGATGGCACCCTGTCTTCTCATATGGATAAACGTTGAACACAGCAAAAAGCAAAGGTTTCTTTTTCACAGAAGAATAGAAAATTATAGAGGACTTACTCTTTGTGTTGAATGCTTTTACTACTTTTTTTGTGTTCTACATCATACCTCTTGTGTACTTGCAAGGATAAAGTTTTGCATCATAGACCTACTTCAATTATTTTACATTCAATATTTGTTTCAAAACTGATTATTGCCCAGAAATCTTCACGGGAGATGCACACATTACAGTGGCTTGGACTCTGAATAACCTTTAAAGTGCTCAGAATAAATTATAAATATAAAAATACTTCTCCCTCTTTCTCTGCAAAATAAGCATAGATCTAGAATTGATGACAATACTGTCTCAAATCCTCAGCAGGTATAAATCAATTTGGCTTCACTGGAGTTGATTTATGCCAGGTGAAGATCCGCACCTGCAATTTAGATGCTGGCCTGCAGAGCACAGCTTGACTTGTTTTCTTTTCCTTCACTCCAAGGCATGATAATTGAGCTCATTTGGGCACTCTTCTCACTTCTTAGTCAAAACTCCCACCTGAGAATTGGACTTAAAATCAGTGCACATCTCCTTGTAATAATTCAAAATAATCTTTCACAAAGAAATAAAAAAAATAAAAAAAAAAAGAAAGCTGACTAAAGACTTAAAGACTTAGAACTCAAAAGTCAGTTGTTCAATACAATATCAGTGATTACAACACAGCAACTGATGTAAGCAGAAGCAAAATACCACTCAGCTCCTTATTTTTCACTCTTATGCCACTAGATGATAGTATGGTAACACCTGTATTGTTCAGCTGCACACCAGACCTTCTGTTGCTGAATTCCTGGCAGCACTCACACTTTTATATATAAAGAATATCCAGAAGCTCATCAGTACTACATAGCTAGCCTTTGAATAGCAGTGCTTAATTATATCCCCTGTGATTTCATGCATTAATATACCCAGAGTGTGGTGGATGCTATTATTTATCCATAGACCCAAACTGGGCTTTATTTAGGCACAGATATTACACTAAATTGGTCACCTCACTCTATTTTTATGAATTACCATCCAGAGCTATAGTGAGACATTTTGACAGAAAGGGCAGGGTAATTACATTTCCCTAGCAGGAAGCAGGAGAATGGCTGGAGGTAACATTTACATTCTGCCTCATGGGCATCCCACTCACTGCCAGTTCTTCACTCGCTGCTTCTTCCACCTTTTCCATTTTGTGCTCTCCCTCTTGAGAGGATTCCCTCCTCATCCAATAGAAAAGCTCTGGGCTAGGAGGAGGCTCGCATCCAGAAAAACACACTGAGCACACAACTGCGTCCTCTCCCCAAACACTTTATCTCCCATTTCACAGAGTCTGTACCCTCCTATCACAGTAAAATGAAAACCAAACTGTTCTTTCTGACAGCTACTTTGTAAAGTAAATAGTCAAAACCCTTCACTGCACAATTTTTTTCCTAGGTAAATCTTAACACTCTGATTTCTTTTTACCCACAATAACATGGTCAGTTTTTTCTTGGTAAACTGGATTGACTCTCCCTGGCCAGGAACATGCACTCCAATGGAGCAGTAAGTGGCCAGCTCCAGTTTTGCACAATACCTTCCCCATCACAGCCAGTTTTATAAACACTTCCAGGTCCCCAGAGTGGAAAAAATCCCATTTCTTCATCCGTAATCTGTGGCAGACATGTAGAGTGATGAAGCTTCTGGAACGACAGGCAAGCCAAAAATTGAAAATGAGAATCTCCAGTGAAAAGACATCAGCCCTTAGTCCAACAAAGTCTAAGGGGATGCAGTTCAGAAAGTGCAAAGGGTGAAGTCACACATCATTGCATTGTTGGCTAATTCTCTACTCAAGGATTGGATTCAGCCATGACCATCACAAGTCACTGAGTGTCCCACAGAGATATAGACCTAGGGGAAACCCTGAACTTCTGCTTTACTGTGACAAACCTTTTATTTAAGTCAGGATAAAAATATATTTGTAAGATTAAAAGGTTTCAAAAGGCTTGTATTTATCTTATCTAATGATTGGTTTGGACATTTGGAATAGTGCAGAAACTACTAGTTATATGGCATAGTACTTGAATAATTTTCAAAATCAGTAAGAATATCTTCTATGTAACATAGGTTGAACTATCTATTGTTTTGTACTCAAGGCATTTATAGTGTCATAGCAGGCCCAGGAGGAAAAAACAATTCCAATGTCACAGTCTTTCAGCATGTCAAACAGAAGTCTCAAAAAGATCACTTCTTCCCATTGGCAATCAAGACCTAAAGAATAAAGTAAAATATATCAAACCTTATACAGATCACTGTTACTGACATGGTGTAAAATATATTAACAATATTATAAAAATCAAATCCCTTTATGGGTCAAAATAAAGCTTTAGAGAAAAATTCTAAAAGTAGACATCCTGAAAAATGTCTACTTCAAAAGTCTTCCTCCGTTGTGAACCTTCATCATATTTTACAATTAAAATTATTTCAATATCATCTTCTTTCACTTTTCATCAAGAACTGTAACAAAAAGAAAGGTCCAATGAACTGCTATTTTGCAAAGCATATTTGAACTGGCATTTCCTGAGCTTATGAAAAATGAAGCACCCCATTTTACTTACATGAATAAGGATGCTCTATATCCAACTTATGAATACTAATTTTTTTACAGTTCTTCTCTGTGATATAAGAATGTTAAAACTCACAGTCAGGGAGAATGTCTGCTGCTAACAAACCTGTAACAAACCCATATTTCCAGGGATAAACATGTCAGCTGTCAGAGCACAGTGAGGAGCAGCTGGCTCACGAGAGATGGTGAGCCAGGAGCTGAGCAGCATAACAAGGCAAGTGGGAGCAACACTTTCCACCAAGCAGTAGTGAGGTTGTGGAGTGGCAAATCTGGATGGTGATCAGGATCAGATGTGACCCAGTGCTCTCTCAAGATGTGCAGAGCGAGTCAGAGCTCTCACAGGCAGTGGAGCTCCCCTTGGACTCAGCCAGTTCAATTCTGTATCTCAGCCAAGCCCCCTCCTAGAAGGGCGGTGCACTCTGTCCTGACATCAGTACCGCAACACGCAGCCCTAGCAGCTAAAGGTGCAGAGTACAGTTGAATGAAATCCGCATTTTATGTGAATAAGTCATTCAAAACGTGAATGGGTGATTACAGTAAAAAAAAAAACAGTTGCTATTGTTGCCTTTTTAAAATGCCAAAGAATGCCCTTTATTCAATAGTAAAATAAATAAGGGCTATGGGGATATATATATGAGGAAAAATTATCCATCAAAAATAAAACATATAAGAACAGTCTGAGAAACACCTGTGCTTGCCAGACAGACATGTTCCAAAGGCTTCTGCAGAGCTACAAAAAATGAGTAATTATATTACAATTGCAGGTTTAAATGCACATGGAAACACCCCAAATAAAAACAAATTATTATTAATTTAATTTTTAAAAAAACAATAGCTCTAAATTCCAGGGAGAATAATGGAAACCTTACCGAGCATGTCAGCAGGGTTCATGCAGGCTGAGCACTACATGCAACATTGATTTCTGCCTCCAGCAAGAGTCTACCTACAGGCATCAGCAACTAGAGGGTGAAAGAAATTACAAAGGGCTCATTCATTTCCAATGCCTCCATCATTTTCCACCCAGTTCCTCAAAGGGGTAAATATCAGATGTACTGTTGTTGCCCCTTGCAGGACAGCTACAGACCTTACAGACTAGCCTTGCTCCCTCTGCCCAAATGTTGAAATAAGGGCTGCTGCAGCCAGCGTGCAGGTATCTGACAATGAAACTAATGTCGTTTCTACCTCACATATAAAGCACTGCAAAAAATATCCTGAAGAAAATTAAAACTAGGAAAAATAAATGTTTTTCCACTTCTTTTATTCTTTATCCTAAATTTTAATAGAAATTGAGACTGTTTAAATGCTACACATATCGAGGAAATCTTTAAAACCTGGTGTGACTTCAGCTAAAATAGGAGCATATAACATCTCAAAAAGCTTCCTATCTCCATAGAAGTCCTCTTTTCATCTTTCTGAGGAAATTGAACAATACAACAGAAACTTTCAAAACCTAGGTGAAAAACAGCAACTTCAGCACACATAATGAGGGAGCTTCAAATATCTGTATCTCAGGTTTGGACTGTTTTAATATAGCAACAATGATTTGACAAAAGTATGTTGGAGATTTAAACGGTTTCTGAGGATTTCTATAGCAGGCAGGAAACAATCATGATATTCAAAAGGCACTACTCTAAACAAATTGCTCTACTGGAATTGTTAGCTCCCTGCAAATTCTACAGAGTCTTTGTATATTAGTGTAGAAAGAAATTCACATTATTTAATAGATTTCAATATGCAGTTGGTAGAATGACTAACACACAGGTATCATACCTATCTTTATTAAAAGAAAAGAAAGCAATCAAAGGACCCATTTAAGTGATTTCTCTGGAGCTGGGCTGATAATCAAATACTATAGGATACTATAGTACTGCTAGTGATCTTCAAAATTAAAGCAAACATATATATATATAAAGTAGTGAGATTTACAGAGTAAATATATCAAACAAAACAGTTTGTTTTCTTAGGTATATAAATCAATTAATGTCAGCATCTGTGGATATGAACAGCCTTGTATGGTTATTGGTTGTTTACATGGCACAGCACAGCAAGGTTGATGAGTTGGTTTCCTTGTCAGGAAATCTCTGGGACCACATGCCATTTCCACTGTGGATAGCCTATATGCCAATCTTCCATAATGATCAGATATGCATTTTGACCAGAATGTTATGCAATGATAATTTATCCTTAAAAATCATCTTAAAACACTGTGCGAGGTATTCCTAAAGAAACACAGGGATTTTGCAAATTTTTTTTGATTTTTCTGTGCCTAACAGTGAGATGAGGTGGCATGCAACTGGTTCCTGGGAAGATTTAAAGTAATTCATCATTTCTTTTGTGAAATTATGCTGGGGTGATTTTTTTTAATATACATCACATTTTCCATCACATGCAATTGTAAATTTGGTACATAAATTATTTGCACAAAGTTATTTATTACTGCTATATACACAGGAAAAATTTGGAAACTTTTCTGCTTTTCAAGGGATTATTTTAACAATCTGTGCAAACATTTAAGATGCTTTCTTACTAAAAGGAACTGATTGCTAATTTGTTTTCATGAGCTTAATTGCATACATATGAAGTCTGCCTTAAATTGTGGAGGGCTGGTATTTTTGCTTATTTTGTAACAAGACACACCAAGATTTTCTAAAAAAAAAGTGAAATGTTTATTTTAGGGAATTATATAGTATCTGAAATACTTCATGTACTGAATAATTTTCAGCAAAGGAATGCAGAAAATTGAATTGTTACTTTTACATTTAGCCAACCCCAAAACACCATCTGGATGGAAACCCTCAATACTAAATTATAACAATTTTCATAGCATAGAAACATGGAATCATAAAATAGTTTGGGTTGGAAGAAACCTTAAAGATTACTTAGTTTCAATCTCCTGCCATGGGCAGGAACACCTTTCACTAGACTTTGTCCTCCCTCAGAACTAAAATTCAGTTTACTTAAATGCTTTTTGGTCATACATCTGTGAATAGATCAATGAAGAAACATTATAAAATTGTATAAATCATGACTTTTGGTTTGCTTTGGCCAGTTAAAAAAAAATAAAATTGTAACATTCAAAAAACCTACAGTAATATTTGTACTTATTGACTGGAGTATACAAAATATGTCTTGTTGCTAAAATATCCCTGTAGCACTACAAGAAATTAGTATTTATAGCTACAAATTTTATTAAGATAAAAGAATATCAGGAATCTAATTCTAACCATTCTAACAACTAGAGGTCAAATTCTGCCTACTCTTACAGGCATGTAACCACATTTGTTAACTGTTGTAAGGGCACATTTTTATCTAAATAGATATATTTTCCTAAATAAAAAGCCAACCAAGCTATGCCTTATTACTGCTCTTCCCTTCTGAAGGGTAAATTCTGATATTTGAAATACCTAAACTGTATTTACAGCTGTACAACCCTGATGCCACATACTTGCAAAATTTCACTCGTACTCTATAAACACGGAGCAACTTGTACAATTGTCTTAAGCATTTGTCTTACAATAGAGAAAGAACAGAGCAGCTTAGACATTTTCTTTGTCAAATTCACACACAAAATACATGGTAATGTGACAGGCAACATCGTTCCAGCCCCCAGAGGCCACCATCTCCACACAGTCCTCCTCATCGTAAGCGTTGTTGGGCTCCCCGCTGCGCCACTTGTTGAAGGTCTGCATGGGCGACCGGTCGGAATAGACAAAATTCCCCTCTTTCTCCAGGTCGTTAATCCCAATGAAGACTCTGGTGAGCCCAGCTTGGTTGATGTACGAGGCAATCAGGTTGTTGGCAGTCTCATCCTTGGGCATGCTCAGCGTCCCTCCTCGTCCGTGGCAGTACAGCTGGGCTTCCTTGTACCTCTTCTCCTCCTTCACCAGCAGATAGATCTTGTTGTCCGTCTCACGCACGCCGGCGACAGCTGCGGGGGAGGGCAGTGCTGAAAAGTGAGCACTCGCATTTCGATAAACCAAGTCACTGCACACCCCAAAATAGCTTCACAAATCAGATGTGGAATGGTGACACGCTTTACGAGCGATTTCACCGATAAAATGAGGCTAGAAGAAAGGAAAACAGTGATATAAAATTAACCTACCATTTTTTATGAATTTTAGCTCTGTCGTCAGCTGGGCTACTTGAATATCCATTTCACCAATAGCCTTCCTTAGCTGACTGCACTCACAAGGGATGCCTGTGAAATGATATAGATAAAAACAAATGAAAAAGCTACCTAATTTCAACTATTATCTCAACAATTTTATGAAAAGGCCCAGCATGACAGCCCTGGAGAAAGCTGACTTGTAAGTTACAGAGAGAAAATTAGAGCCTTCACTACCCTGCACCATTATATGATTCTCGGGGGTGTCTGGGCCTGTGCAGAACAGCTCAGTTCACATCCTACAAATCTTCCATCCTGAATGCTTAGTACTAACGTAAGCACAGATATATATTCTCTGCAAAACATGCACAATGCTTTTTAACTAAAAACATTTTCCAAAATTCTCATTTTCAGTAAAATTATTTTCTTTAGTTTTCTCAAAGTTTTCTTTAACAGCAAAAAACATTGCTTGCAAATTCTTCCCAAGGAACATATCACAGCAGATCCAAAATTCCAACCACATATTTCACATAATTACCTGAAAAATGCAGTTCTGTGTTTTTGAAAGTACAGAATTTATAATACTTCTGACAATAAAATTAGACAATAGAAAATCATCTATTCACCCACATTGGCATAGGTTTGACAAAGATAATCTGAATGTGAATACTAAAATACTAATACATCTCTGACCACAGATCTCAAAATGAGGATCAATTACCATTTGCAGTTCTGTATGCAATTATTAAAATCTGCATTGGACTACCCACTAACCCTGCTCAGTTGTGCAAGTCAGTACTTGCCCTACCAAACTGTGCATGCTGTCTGGGTGCACAGCACGCTAGCTCAAGAGTTAGAGTGACAAATTATGTTCTCATGAGAAATCTGATCTGTGCACCTCCAATGCACTCTGCCAGGAAGGGATGAATTCAGTCCAGTCCAAACCTGCCACTCTTGCAAGGCTTGCCCTTCTTACACTAGGCTGTTTCTCTAGAACATCTATATACTTCTGGAAGATCCATGTGCCTCCATATAAGAATCTGAAGAGAGGGTGATGAGAAGACCGAGCCAGGCTCTGCTTGGTGGTCCAAAAAATAGGACAGGAGGCAATGGGCAGAAACTGATGTACAGGAAGTTTCTCCTGAACATGAGGAAGAACTTCGTTACTGTGTGGGCAACTGAGCAGGTTGCCCAGAAGTGTTGTGGAGTCTCCCTCACTGGAGATATTCAAGAACTGTCTGGACAGAATCCTGAGCCATGTGCTCTGGGATTACCCTCTTGAGCAGAGGTTGGACCAGCTGACCCAATGTGTTCCATTCCAGCCTGACTCATTCTGTGATCTGTGTTCTTGACAATCTCCTGTTCCTATAACTATAATCCATGGATGGGCAGGAGCCTGCTCCCTTGCACTGACTGGTACACAGAGAGATATGCAGAGACATCTCTTTACCCTGGTGATGAATGACACAGACAGTCTGACTTCAGTTCCACTAGGCTTCTGGAGAGATTACTCCTCAGAGAAAGTACAAAATACTGTTCTAGCATATACACTATAAGTCCAGCAACTGCTGCAACTTCAATGATTTTAAGTCCTTTGAAAATATAACAGTGAAATATTACAGTACCAATGAAAAAATAGTTCATTATTTCCCCCAAAATGTAAACAGATGTATTTTTAGTGATGAAAAGTCTTTCACACAAACCAGGTGTGTTATGGATTACCTGGGTCACCATTAGGACCCGGTGGTCCTATGTCACCATTATCTCCTTTTTCACCTGAAGACACGAAAAATAACATAATGTTAATGCTGCCTTTTCTGTCAATAGTACATTTAACACTTATATATTTTTTTCTCAAGTAAAATTCAAATGTGGAAAGTAGAAATATGCCCGAGAAAAATAAAGATTTTTCTGTCCTAGTCATTCCATAACAAAGGCCAGCCATACCTATGAAACTTGAACCCAAATAATATATACCAATATTCATTTCTTGACATTCATAAATTTCACAGAACCAGTAAATTCAGATGCTATAGAAGGGAAAGGGCTGGATATACCTAAATTTTAAATCATAATCTAGATGACTAGGTAAACACTGGTGCAAATGTCTTAACCAAAGTCACATAGGAAGCCTATGGAGTAGTCAACATAAGAAAACACATGTTCTGACTCTTAAAAGTCTGCCAAAGTACAACACATCTTCCCATCTTCTTTAACTGTCCACACTTGCATGGCAGTGCAAAGTTCTTTATTTATCCTCAAACCAGGATACTCACAGTACTTTAAGACTAAATATACTGCTGTAACATGAAAAGGTAACTAGCTGAAAGATCTCAATGGCCTGGCTGACTACAGTGTGAGAAAATTCCTGCTAAGGCAAACTGTGAGGCTTGTTAGCCATTTTTCAAGCCCCTAAACTTTTCTCAAACATAAATGATAACACATTTTTCACCTGAAACACAAATGGAGAAATAATTGAATTAAACATACCTTTTGAACCAATAGGACCAATTTTTCCATGCCGTCCTATGCTGCCTTTCTGTCCTTTGTCCCCCATTTCTCCTGTACATAACAGAAGGATGAAAGACACAAGGCAGCAATGCAGTCTGATTCATTCAGATTCTACTATGTTTGTAATATCCATTTTTACAATGAATAAAACCATGCTATATCCCAAATATTCACTGAACTCCAGAGGTCTAGCTCAATCCTTGTGAAGAACTTACATATAGCAACCTAGAGAGCGATTTTATCTTCACTATACAATTAACATTAACAAGGTATGAATGTGTAATTGTCAACACCTCTTGTCTGAAAACCACTGGAAAAGCTTTTGCAAACTTCTTTCAGCTGATCATGACAGGATTATGTTGAAAATACAGAGGATTGTTGCACTCAAACACAGATCAGCAGATCAAAAGTATCATGGAGTTGAGGAGACCTAAAGGATCCAAGCACAACTGACATTTCATCTCAGACAGTGACTCCACTGTAACTGAGGGCTGGCTTTGGGTTTAATGATTTATTTATACAATATAAATATTGTCAAATGACATAGGTTTTCCTCTGTACCACACTTTTAAAGGAGAGGGGGTATGGAGGAACTACAGGAAAGAATGCCTTCTGAGGCTCCTATCCTGCAGAAATCCATGCTCAAAACTGCTTTAGGAAATATTTATGAAATTGCTTTCAATGACTGTTGAAAATATTGCTTCTTTGCTGAAACCAACATCTGCTATGCTCTGGTCGACCACACAGGTGCAAGGAAACAATGAGACAAGCTAGGAGGAAAATCCACCAGAGGGATCCAGCAACTGGACTTGTGCAAACTGTCATAGCTCAACCTCAGTCTTGGATCTATGACAACTGAAGATCTGTTGCCCCCTGTTGCTACTGCATCCTGACAGACATACGTATGTTTGAAAGCTGGATAATGTTATTTATTGCCCATTTTTTCATTACCTTTAGCTTAAAGGTAAAATCAATAACAAGTTTCAGAATATAAACTGATCACTGCTGGGCTAAGAGATGTTACATCTATTACTCCATGAAGTCTCAAGCAACCCTTGTCACTTGATGGCATGAGTGAGAAAAAAACAATTTCCTCTGAACTGAGAGAAGATAAATGTGCATGGTTTGTTGGTCTAATTAATTATTGGCAAGTCCTACAACCAGTCATTTTCCTTTGTTTCTAATAAGTATAGAATTCAAACACTACTGGACACAGGCTTTCACCAGAAGAAATAAATATTTTTATCTATTCCTACTGGGAGTACCACCCTGTAATCAGTTTATCAAGTTGCTCTGAAGATGATGTCTCTTGCTTTGCATATTAATGAATTTGGATTACCACTAATGATCATGAGAAGTTTGAATTCTTTCTCTTTTCAGGCTGCTACACCTGAAATTAAATAAACTCATTGATCTAATGCATAAATAAAATTAAATATATAAAATTATTTCACTTTCTTTCTTGTAGAAACTGCCCAGAAAATGAACTGCTTCTCAATCACAGACAGTAAAACCCATGTGCTCTGCTCAGAAGTAAAAGGAAAGTGTGTTATCTCGAGCACATATAAGACATATATTAAATCTCCTTTCTTCATTAAAAGAATTGTTCACACTTGGGTTTCTCTTACAGTGACTAACCCCTGCTCCACTCCAGGGGCTTGCTTGTTCTGCTTCTTCTGCAGAATAAATCACAAAGTTACAAGAGAGACCCATCTGCCTTGAGGGTTTCAGAAGTTTTAATACCTTTTATAAAGCCCTTTTTAGTGGCCCTATGATTGTCAAAAATGCAGTCTGAGGAGTCTTAATGAAATCAGGAAGTGATAGCTGGAAAGAAATGGGGACAATAAAAGAAATTAAGTCTCCATAGACCAAAAATAAGAAATCAAACACAAAGAATGAATAGAGAACTGAAGAAAGTCATCTGTCGTCTCTCAGATGAAGGTGGCATACATTGGAACCAATTATAGAAGATTTAAAGGATTTGGGAAGGAAAAGTAGAGAAGGAAATTCTAAATTATCTTCTTGGTGGCTTTTTCAGGCCCACAAACAAGTGAAGAAATAAAATTCCAGAGATGAATGGTGGGCTGCAAAACAAGTGAAAAAATGAGGGGTTTCACTCTATGCCATACTATAAATGGGGGTCACAGAGTATGGGAAATCTCTTTAGGATTAGCTGGAACAGACAAGAAGTATAAAACTACCTAGAAAAAGAAAAAGGCATCAAAAAACAAATCTAGTAGAAATGGAAATTCACCAAGACACAGACAAATTTAATTGAATCATGTTAAAAAGAAGAGAGAGTAGTTTTCTGCCCAAACTTAAGATTTGATTTTAAGACAAATCAAATCAAATTCATGATTTGACATAGAGGACATCACAGTCACCTACCTAACAAGGAAAGTAGAAGTGTACCAAACCACACCAAAGGCCTCTTGAATCTAGTGCCATCTTTTACAGCAATCTGCAGAGGATACTTAGGAAGAGAACATAATATATAGATGAAGATTAAAAAGTCTTTCCCCCAGAGCACCTCAATAGTTTTGCAGCAGTCAGCGTTCCCAATGCAAATAGCTAGCGTGACTTGAATGAGAATGATATTTTTAAAGGATATAACAATGCTATGGTAGTAATCTACATTCAGGACACTTCATTTTTAAAAAAAACATTGGCAACTGGAAATCAGAAAATTCCAAATATGTCAGCAGGCTACTGAACTGCTTTACACTGAAAAATCTGAATTATCCACACCAATGAAGGTCAGCAATTGGTGAGGGAACAGTGGCTACAAGAAGTTACATCTTATCACAGAATCATGAAATGGGCAGAGTTGGAAGCAACCTTAAAGATCATCTAGTTCCAACCCGCTTCCATGAGCAGAGACACCTTCCACTAGACCAGGTTACTCAGGGCCCCATCCAACATGCCCTTGAACACTATTTGAGGGATGGAGAATCCATAGCTTCTCTGGGAAACTTGTTCCAGTGTCTCATCATCCTCACAGTAAGTAATTTCTTCCTTATATCTAATTTAAACCTCCTCTCTTTCATTTAAAGCCATTCCTCCTTGTCCTGTTATTACATGCACATGTAAACAGTCCCTTTCCAGTTTTCTTCTAAGTCCCCTTTACTGGAAGATGCTCTAAGGTCTCCTCGGAGCTTCCTCTTCTGCATGTGGAAACTCTTTCAGACTGTTTTCATGGCAGAGGTGTCCTATCCTCCTCTGATCATCTTTGTAGCCATCCTCTGGACTTGCTCCAGCAGATCCATGTCCATTTCATGTTGGGGCACCAGAGCCAGGGCTCTCATGAGAGCAAAGTAGAGTGGAAGAATCACTTCCCTCAACTTGCTGCCAATATAGCCCAGGATGTGGTTGGATTTCTGGGCTTCAAGGGCACATAGCCAGCTCATGTTGAGCTTCTCTCAAACCAACACCCCCAAGTTCTTCACCTCCAGGCTCCTCTCAATCCATTCTCTGCCCAATCTGTATTTGTGCTTGGGATTGCCCCAACCCAGGTGCAGGACCTTGCACTTGGTCGTGTTGAACTTCATGGGCCCACCTCAAGCCTGTCCAGGTCCCTCTGGGTGGCATTCCTTCCCTCCAGCATGTTGACTGTGCCACACGGCTTGGTGGTGTTGGCAAATGTGCTGAGGGTGCACTCGGTCCCACCATCTGTGTCACCAACAATGCTAAACAGATATTCTTATATGAATGAGCAGTGCATAATCAGAAGAGGCATTTTTTATAACTGGGGAAAATCAATTTCACCCAGCATTAGCCACCCTAAAGTTAGGGTTTTTAGTCTAAGATATTTATCTAAACTCCCACAGCAGGCAATGAAAAAATAAGCACCTCTCAGTAGTGATACATCCCACTCATGTTAGACAGGTCTCATAATCAGAATAGTTAGAAAATTTGGAAAGGAAAACTAAAGCTAGTGAGAAAAAAAATCCAATCTAGAAAGGCAGCACAAATGTTTAAAGGATTTAAAAGTATATGCAAAGCCAAAATGAAAATAGTGCAGTACATTCCAGAATGGAGGAGCTTCTATTTGGAGGCAAGCAAAGACAAATAACTGCCCTCATGAAACATTATCTTGCTAGAATTATGTTAACAACATATTAGCAAGCTTCTTCAAACCAGTGGTTCCTCTAGCCCAAGACTTTGTTTCCTGTGATGGCAGCAGAAGATGCAGTCCAGGAAGATCCCACAACCACAGCTACTATCTGCAGGTGGAATTGCTGTCTCTGTCCCCAGCAGATTCTGAGAGTGCCTCCTAGTTCAGGCATAATGGGATCTGGTGATTCTGTAATCTTGATTATAAACTCCTCAGACTGGGACTCAGAACAGATGCAAGAGTCTCAGTCTGTCCCTTTTCTCCTTATGAGGCAGCTCCTCTTTTTCACATTTTTGGTGCCCATCTCTTACCTCTCAAGTCCTTTTTGAGAGAAAGGCCAGAAGAACATTTGTGAGAAAGTACATGTCAGGCTTTTGTACAGAACAAAATCAACTGCAAAAAGAAGCTTCCTGTTTTGTCCTTTGTGCTTTTGTCATCCTTTTGTGATGATGGGCAGTGTTCTCTTGGCCTTGGGACTCTTGCTAATGACTTCAGAGCAGTCCTTGAGTTTTAAGTGACAGTTTGGGGTTTTAGCATTATTTAAGTATGGATTAAATCATGCATCCCTAATTTCCCTAGGCAATATGTTTATTTACATTGAAGCCCATCTGCCACCTTTTTGCCCACTCATTTTAGCAGGATTTTCTCAAAATCCTATTGAGTTCAGGTGGAACTGAAAGACAGTTTTGAACCAGATACCCACTTTGTGAATTCACAGCTGTCAATGTCAGGACTTTTATATGGAATACTGCCTGCAGCACTCCTTAGTGAGCAATAAATCCATGTAGAAATTGACTCAGAAATGCAAAGGATTGATTGATTACATATTAATGAGCAATCAGTAATAATAAAATATAAATTAAGATATTATTACCTCTTTTTAGAATTTGATTATACAAATGACTGAGCACTCTGGCTCCAATCCAGTTAAATTAATGAGTCTTCTCTTCTACTTAAGAGGCTGTGCCTGTATTAGTAAATTAAGTGCCTGGGACTATTCCTTGGCAGTGGGAACCAGGTAGTCAAGGATGGGTATCACTTCATGATACTAAATTGTCTTACTCTTCGAGCCAAGATAATCTTGGAAGCTGCTCATTGTGTTAGCTCCCAAAACATGCCCAAGAATTGCCTGGGAAAGTGTTAGCTGGCAAAAGCCAAAACCACTGTGCTAACACTGCAAAAGTAGAGACAGTTCAGTTCCAAGCCCAAGAAAAATATGTGAGACTGTATCACATACCATTATAGTTGTATAAAAATTAAGTACAAATAAAGACTGAAATTAAAATACTAAAATAATATACATTTTAAATGGTTATGGCTCTAAGAAAATTGAAATGTTTTGAAGATATAATTTTAATGTTCTGTTCCTTTGATGATACATTCGAAGTGTAAATCCACTTTGCCCTCCTTATCTCGAATGCTGTAAGGCAGTCTGGGAATATTCACAGGATGGTACTGTTACCAAACTATTTGTGTGGAATTTAAAAACATGAAAGTTATGGCCTTACAGACTGCACCAGGATTCAGTTAAATAACTGAGTTTACTCCCAACATGGGAGAGCACAGTACAGCCATTTATGCATGTGGGGAAAGTTAATTCTGCGAACTTCACGGCCCAAAACTTGCACTGCATTACACACTGCTTTCATCTGAAACAGCCATTGTACTCAACCCAGTGCTCCATGCTTTACATAAGGCCGACACAGTTCTCGATATTCTGCTGACATGCTATGCATCATAATTGACCTATACAATTAATTAAAAGCAATGAGAAAAGTAAGTGGAATTTAACCTTAATCAGCACACAAAGACATCAGTATCTCTGATGTCACCCTGAAGCATCAGGACAGGCAGAACAAGATTTATTTCAAGTAAGGACAAGAAAATTTTAATTTTTCTGAGTTACTAAAATCTGAAAATATCATGAGGAAAGGACATGATAAAAACATCTGCAGCACTTTCTGATCTTGAGCTCTTCAGGTCAAATATGCCATAAGAACATAGTTTTTGTAAGCTATTTTATGGTTATTATACACCTATGAAGTTCAAAGAAACTAAACACATTTTCTTAGATTAACTTGCTGGGAAAATGAAACAAAGAAAGGGGAAAAAATAAATAAAAGAAAAAAGATTAATGTGATTTTGATAGTGTAAATTAAGACCAAAAGTAGAAAATTCTACAAATGTGGCAGAAGGATTGCAGCTTCTCCCTCATGTAAACTATCACTTACTCAAACGTGAGAAAAATAAAATAGAATTTAGCAGCCTGCATCAACAGAAGGAGCCAAATATTAGACCAAGACAAAAATTATCAGGCTTAAAGAAAAATACGAGGGGTTGAACACATGCTAACTCACTGACTGAAATTCAACAGACTTCTCCATAGAAGCAGGGCTCCTGTCTATGGGTAATTTTAGGGGCAAAGTGAAGGAACAATGATTTTTGCCAAACATATTGTTACATTTTATTTTTGTCTGAATGTTCCATCTTCTGGATTAGAAATAGGAAAATCCTTAGTCTGCTGGAAGAGAATGTACTCAGTCTCATGCTGCTTGAGAATCTAGAAAAGTATTTATGCATGAACTTAGCTACAGGTCTGCACACTACATACAGTCTGTGGAGGTTATCCAGAGACTGAAAGGGCAGGAAACTGAAAGGTTTTTCCAGGTCAGAGTTGGATATTCTTCTGTGTCCTTTCCATAGACCAGATATTACATCTGTGAAGTCTGTTTGCTTATCCAGTCAAAACTGTGACATTCAAAGTGTACTGGATATAGTACCATGATGAAAAGTGGCACCATATAATCCAAATTTTTTTTAAGGTATCTATGTTATTTTCTTTGATGAAGCATTCAGGAAGCATAAGGGAGTTGATCAAGACAAATATCCACAAAATGTACAGCATTAATGAAAAGACTAGTTAATTAGAGCTTACTTTAAACAAGAGCTTGTTTGTAGAAATTTCTGTATGCAAAAAGAAAAGCAGAAAAATATGCTGCTACAGAAGTAGCAAGAAATTTTGCCTCTGTTTAGTTAAAAGTACTACCTGAAAAAATACTGATACAGCATGCATTAATATTCTATTTTCTTTAATCTCTTTTCTGATTCATATATGTTTTCTTGTAGTGTGTTTCCTCTCCAGTGTTTCTTATTTCAGTCTCATCAGAATTTGGGACTTTTGCGAGTACGAAAAACTAGAAAATTACCACTGTTATTAGCATTAATCAAGCATACCTTATGAGAACTATTTTTCAAATAAATGCAATTTTACAATAGAAAATAAATAAATACTACATCATGGATTGCCCAGACTGAAAAAGAGTACTTCCACATCCCAGATGGTCCAAAGCATTTTGAAGTGACATGACAATATGCCAAGATAGAGGAACATGCAGGACAGCGCGATGAGAGGGGTTCTGAAGAAGTTGTCAAGACAGCCTCATGCCAAAGGACTGAGGCACTTAGTGCTTTCTTTGCCTTTGTCTCTGCTGGCAAGGTCGGCTCCCTGGCCCCCAGTTCCACATGTCTGGTGGCAAAGATCAGGAAGGACAAACTGTTCATGGCATCTGACAACTGAGTGAGGACAACTTCACCTGGATGTACACGACCCCACGGCACTCAGGGGTGATGAGGGACCAGCTGGTGCTGCTGCAAGGCTGCCAAAGTCCAACCAGCAGCTGCTAAGGAGTCCTTCACTGCTGAAAGGGAGGAAGAAGCAGAAGATGCCCCATGCTGGCAGGAATGGTTGGTGCATTGGAGGGCAGCCCTGCCAGTCAGGAGGAGCTTGACAAGCTGCAGAAATGGCAGAAATGTGTTGACAGGAATGTCATGGGTTTAGGGTTCAGCCAGATCCTAAGTGCCTCACTTTGATGAGTCTGGCTCATGGCTGGGTAAAAAACTCCGTTGTCTTAGAGGACCCAGAGACTCTCTTCTCATACATGAGAAGCAAACTGAAGTCCAGCTGAGGAAAGATGGTTTTACTTAACTTGGAATACAGAAAGGTAAGAGGGGAATTAATTGCAGTCTTCCATTACTTACAAGCAGTTTCTAGAAAAGATGCAACCTTTTCTACTCAGAGACACACAGAGAATGGGCAAGATGCAATGATTACAAGCTACAACAGGTTTTTCATGATGACACCAGTGAAATAGATTAATTAAAATTTATGTGAAATCTCCATCCTTGGAGATTTTCAGAAGTCTACTGGACAATGCTCTGAGAAACCTGCTGTGATATTGAAGTCTGCCCTGTTAAGAGCAGGAGATTGGACTAGATGAGCTCTTTACAATCATTTAACCTAAATTATTCTGACATACTGCACTTCAGGCTGCACTGCCTTACAAGAGCTGAAATTTTAGTTTCCAATATTTTTTTTTCTAACAGACATCCTTGAAAACATATCTACATAAGGGAAATAGACTGACTGAACACACACCCCCCTCATGGAAGTTATAAATTTTCCAATGTATTGTAGGAGGAAGAGCTCTAGCTATGGATTTTGATCCCAGGATAATCAGTATCAGACTTCCATAAGTGCCTAAAAGAACAAAATATTGGAACATGCCACCATCACAAGGAAGTATAAAGGATCTCTAAAATTGCTTTGAAAGAAAGATTGTAAACTCAGTTCAGTAAAAGCTAACTCTAACCTTCTAATGATAGGAATGTCAATCTTTAATTTCAATATTGACATCAAAGGATGTGACTCCTGCTGATTTGAACCTTTCAGAACACAAACCTCCTGGAAAATTTATGAAGGCCAAATTTCCTCCTTGCTTCAGGAGGAAAACAAATGTGAAAAAACAGAATTTCCTGCAGGAGAGAAATGCTATGTTTCTCTCAGCTGCATAACTGAATACTGTTGAACACCATTCCTCTCAAGAGCTCAAAATATTTTTGAACTACAGTGCAAACAAATTTATCACCATTTCTCCATATCCAAAAAATGTGGGAACATTCATGTTCATCTTTGCCTATTATGGCTTACTGCCTTCCCTCAATGGTTTTAATTAAGTGTTGTGAATGTTCAAATTCACACCAAAAAAAAAAAAAAAAAAAAAGTTTTTTTTTTTTTAACCAGAAGGTAATACTTTGTCTACAAATGACTGCATACAGTTGTACTGGTTTTGGCTAAATTAAATTAAGTAAATATTTATCATTGTAGTTCTGAGGGATTTATGATTTGGGATTTGTGACCAAAGCAAGGTCGATAGCACAGAAACATTCATCATTGCTGAACAGTGCTTGCACAGGACTAAGGCATTTTCTGCTTGTCACCACCCCTCCAGTGAGGAGGCTGGGAGTGCACAAGAAGTGGGAGGGGACACAGCCAGGAGAGCTGACCCCAGCTGACCCAAGGGAAATTCCCTAACCTATGGCATTGTGCTCAGTTTGTAAAGCTGGGGGAAGAAGAAGGAACAAGGGGACATTTGGAGTGATGGTGTTTTTCTTCCCAAGTCACATTATGTGTGGTGGGACCCTGCTCTCCTGGGGATGGTAAACACCTGCCTGCCCTTGGGAAGCACTGAATTAATTCCTTGTTACACTTTGCTGGTGTGCATGTGGCCTTTACTTTCCCTATTAAACTGTCTTTATCTCAACCCATGGCTTTTCTCACTTTACCCTTCTGATTCTCTACCCCATCCACACCAGGGAATGTGACTGAGTGGTAATGTGGGGCTGAGCTGTTGGCTGGGGTTATACCACAACAGCAGCAAACAGAAATGGCCAAGGATTAATTAGTTACCCAGTTAAGGGATCAAGGAGCCCCATCCTCATAATCTCACAAGAAAAAGCAGTATTTTCTCAGGAATGACTCTCAAAATACCTTCTTTATCAAAGTTACCTTTTTCTCCTGGAGGTCCAACTCTGCCAGGACGACCTGGAGCACCTTTCTCCCCCTTTTCTCCAGCCTCCCCTGTTGAAATAAAAGTAAACAACAAGAAGAATCCCATTAAACCAGGATTATTTTCTGTTAGCAGCCGTGAGAAGAATGCCATTCTCTCCAGTGAAAAAAATAGATGTGATCTGATTTAACAGCTTTACTTGATGGACAGAAAGTAGATTTTTCTTCAGTTGATGCAGACACTGGAAAACCCTGTCAATACATTACTGAGGTCTCATACAACAGGTCTAGTTTTGTGGATGTTACTTACACCACTGACCTTCAAAAAGCCAACAGCACAATTCACTCAAGTAGAAGCTTCAGAATCAGACCCCAGCTCAGCACATAAACTTCTGTGTTCACCAAACTCTTTCCAAGCCTCTGCTAAGGACATCTTTAAATCTCAAGTAAAAATGGCTTAACTATGGCCTTAAATTAAAAGAAAAAAATGTCATTTTTGTGACCTATAAGAGAACACTGTTACATCCATCATTTGAGGATCATTTTTAAGCATGAAAGCATTAACTCCCTACTCCGTATCCAGAGTTATATACTGTGCTTTTTAATCTCTGATGTATGAACCACTATGTAGTATATTTACATGTACATAGCTTGCAGTGCAGCATTGTATTCAGCATATTTAAACATCACTTTCTGTAAAAATTGCTTGCCTCCCTTTCATTAAAAATTTGGGGATGCTTAGCTTGTTTTGCCCACTACAGCCACACTAATACTGAAGTCTGCCATTGACATAAAATTAAAATCTCTGACAAACAGAAGGTTAAAGAATTATTTATACAGCCACCTTGACAAAACAGGATTTATTTGAGGAAGGATAAGAAAGTTCTATGACTTCCACAGAAAATAATGTGCTGGTATGTAAAATCCAGAGCTAGCACAGCATATATGATATCCCAACAGTGTATCTCTATGGATGAGAGTGAGCATTAGCTGCTCTCCAGGAAGCTGAGGGGAGCACCACACAGGAAAGTCAATGGTTATCACGCACCCCCCAAGCCCAACTCTCTGGCATAGCTGGCAGCTGTGGTTCAGAGAGGAGTCACAGAGATGACATGTAAAAACATGTCACACCATGGCACACTTCAAATATGCAGCCTCCAGCTCTCTTTCAATCTCTCTATTGTAGGCCTAGGTGGCTGTGAGCAGAACTCAGCCCTCCATCTGTTATATTTTCATTCTTCAGGCTGCTCCAGACCATCTTCCCTGCCTTCAGACATGCAAAAATAGGCCATTCTCTGACCTTAATGAGGACAAACTTCACATAACCCCCAGTGAATAATATTGTTAGTATGAAACAGGCTATAATTTGGCACATTTGAGAACGTCACATTTTTATTATCAAGCAACCAATAGGCATTGTATGATTGCCTTTCACCCCTCAGGGCTGGTTATGAGTTCTTTGCTTCCCAAAGATAAATCCTGACAATGACTTTTCCTTGCTCTCTGGAGGCTGAGAGCAGGCTATTACAGCCTATTGCTTTACACGTTCTTCAGAGTGAAAGCTGTGCATTAGGGATCAATAAAATAGATCACTCTTGCTTCAGGCCATTACACTTGCCTGCATTTATTCTTATAATACGATGACACCGCATTCCTTAGTGTGGGTGTTTTAAAAACTTTCTCCAGAAGGAGATTACTCCATTACAGGCCCAGCTACAGACCAGTTGACATTTTTTTCTTATCAGCTGTTTTGAGGAGCAAGACCTTGGCCAAGAGGGACTGATCAGTGGTACAGCACAGCTTGGCCTTGTGTAAGTCCCTATTCTTGCTGTTTGTACCCTGATCATTGTGCAAATTGAGGAAGTAAAGCCTGTGCAGGTGTCATGGGCAACAAAACAGTTTTCTGTCAAGACCTTTCAAACAAGTTAATTTTCCACCAATAAACAATAATGTTTAACTTCTTGATTTGTGAAACAAAGACACCCCGTGCCTCCTTTCTGGTCTCCGGTCCCTCAACCTACAACAAAGTCCCTTCAGAGCAGTAGGTTGGGATCTGTGCATTCTGGTCCCTACCTGACTGGTCTGCTGTGGCCTCTTCCACCAGCCACAGTCCCTTAGCACTTGCACCTCTTGCTCAATCTCCTCTTCATCCCTTCCTGCAGATTTGCTCCAGCCCCACTGCAGGAAACAGTACTTTCTGTGCCAGCACAATGCAGCCTTGTCTACACAGCTGAGACAGGGTGAGGTGCAGTTAGTAGTGCTCCACAGTGCTGAGATGCCCCATACGCCTAAAAGAAATTTAGCCCTGCCAAACTATGTGAGCTATTAAGCATTCCTGTCTGGTGATAACTTCTTTCTATTACTCATATTCCCCATGTGAGTTGATGTGGGTGTAAAAAATTGGGTTTTTTAACGTAGCATTAACTTTTTTATGCATTGAACGTCATTGAGAGTATTGACAACTCCTGCTTTAGACTCTAGAAGGGAGACAAAACAAGATGACAAGCTGAGAATTTAAGCTCTGAAGGGCTATTTTTTTCTCCACAATAGTAGTAACTTCAATTTCATGTGCCTACCAAAAGAAACTGGACTTTAGGAAGAATATGAGTGAGCTGTGCAGTGAGGTTTCATCATCCATTCTTTTTCACACGCAGCACACTTTTCTTATTATTAATATTGCTGGCTTTCTAAAACATGGTTCAGTCTGCTATCTGCATTCTCAAAACCATGGTTTTTCCCTGACACTTTTCATCTAACTCCTTTATATTCTTGACTTAAAAAAATAACCAACCCACCAAAACCTGCCCTGCTAAAAAAAAACCACTGAAATTACTACAAAAAACAAAGAAGCAAAAATTCCACCAAAAATCAAATCAAACAAAAAATACCCCAAACATACAAAAACCCCCAAACCAACCAACCAAACAAAGCACACAAAAACAAATCCCACCCCCACCCCCCCCCAAAAAAAAAATCCCACAAACCACCAAAACCTGTCCCTAAGACCTAAAGTGCCAACTTTAATCTCATTTGTGCTTTTACTATTCTTGGTATCTTTAGTAGCTTTCTTCCTCATCCATTTCCACTTCCATTCTCATCTCATGCCCCTTCTGATTTTCTCTTTTACCCTGTGGGATCTTAATTGATTTTGTATCATTTTACATTTATTTAGTTTCCATTCTCTCCACTCAGTCTCATTTTTGAGCTCTTTTTCCTTTGTTTTTCCCTATTATCTCTTTCTGTTCTTCTAAAATTTCTCCTTTACACTCCCCTGCTTCTGCGTACTTTTCCCTGATGACTTTCTCCTTCATCACCCCATTTGGGCCCCACACTTTGCACCACCTCTTAAGTGTCTATCATCTGCCATTCACACATCCCATGGTCTCCCTAATTTCTTGCATTTTTTCCCTGTACCTGTTTTTTCCAGATTCCAACAGAGCCATGCCCAGCAGCAGTGTGACACTCTATTTCTCCACTGCTGGAGATGTTGCTGGCAGCCCAGGGAAGGAGGAGGAGATGGTGCAGATCTAAAAGCTGCAGTGAGCAAATCCTGCTGCATGGCAGCTGAAATGTGGGCAAGTGGCCACGTGTGCTTAGTTAAAAGGAAGCCTTGGCCAGTGAGATGGGTTGGTGCTGTGCCAGGAGGGGACAGCAGTATCTCATCACCACCTCTCTGAGACAGTCCCCCTGACAGCATAGTTGGTGCATTGAAAGCTTTTTAGGGATTTCACATTAACTAGGTCAGTATCAGGTCATTTTGTGCTTCACTGAATTTGTACATCAATCTCTCTCAATTTTGCAAGGCTTATATCTTATGAAACTGAGTGAAATCATTAACACACAGTGGTTTTCAGGCCTCTGTCTGGTTTCCAGGCTCAGAATTGTCATCTGCCAAACAGTCCTGCACAGTTTACACACTTTAAAAACCTTTGCTGCACATGATAATAATAATAGTAATAATAATAATAATAATAATAATAATAATAATAATAATAATGCATTGCAGATGCTAATTTTGACTGATTACAAAAATAAGAAAATCAATGCAAAGAAGTCATAAAACTCATCCCATCAAGTTCTTTGATATGAAAAATATTTTCAAAACTTAGGGCTGTGGAATCTGACCCTTTGACTGATCTTTCATGCAAGTTTGGACAACATATATTAACTTGGTTGTGTTCTCCTCTGTAAGTCACACTAAGAGAACTATCCTATGCCTTTTACACAGTAAATATATCAAACAAATTAAACAATTCTACTCAAGTCTTATTTAAACTTCAGAAGGCCTGGACATAGTGTTGTTCTCTTTAACTAGAACATCTGCAGAAAATCTACAAATTATTCAGATCAAAAGCCACTTATTGAAGTAAATAGTAAAGAACAGCTTTTGGCTGAGTTCAGACATCCAAAGCTGCATCTGTAATAATAATAATATACAAAACAATAATAACTATAAGAAATAAACATATTCTAAAAGCCAATTGGCTAAGCACAGCCCACATCCCTGTAGCCCAGCTCTCTTGCCTCAAGCAGAGGACAGGCACACACAAATTGGGCAATGCCTGGAGAGGGCAGTTTACACCCAGCCAAACCCGTGGCCAAGCTGGGCTCACAATTTAACTGTATGAACAGCTGCAGAACAGAGCTGAGCCTCACCCTTCCCAATCAGTTAACCAGAACACGCAGTGACTGCAGTCCATACTGTGACTCTCAGGCAGCTCAGGAAAGCCCAGATTTGTACAGATAAGATTAATGGCAGCAATTGTGGTTAGGTGGGTTTTGTGACACTACAAGGCATAATTACAAGAAAAACTGAAAGTTTTGTTGTATGGTTTTTACACAATGCTTTTTTTTTTAATTGTTGATGGTAAACTGGTGGGTTTCATAGGGTTTTTTGTCCTTAAAAAGGACAAAAAAAAAGTTAAAAAGTATCTCCCCATGTTCAAAAGTGTTATATTTCAACAAAAATGTCATAGCCTTCACAAAGGGAATTACTGTTATTGACTAAACAGGGCTGTGATTTCAACAACCATAATGGATGTCGTTGCTTTAAAGTGCTAATTCTTCCCAGTAGTTGATTTCTTATGCAAGGTATATATTTTTTCCTATGAAAAGATAAATTATTTATTACAACACCTTCTTTGGGAAAGAGTTTGGGGGCATATTCTGTAAAAATGTTGTCTTTTTCAAAAAAACTCTAGAAATGTCAAAAATCTAAATAATGTCTGCTTTCTTCTAAGAGGTATTCAAGCTTTTAAAAAATCAAAAGAAGATAAACAAAATACAAGAAAACACAAAATAATTCCTATTACATTGCAAAATTGAAATTAAAACCTTGCCAGGTACAAAGTAGGGCCTGATGTTACAGTTTTTGGGTATGTGTACCACCCCTCAGTATAAAACACAGAGAGAGCAACAAGGCAATGTATAAGAGCAACAAGTACTAATGATCACCAACAAATCCAGGCAGCTGGCATGCATTCTCTGAACCATTTAATTTCACCTTATGGACATTAAAGCTCAATTTTTAAGGAGGCTATAAACAGAGGCAAATAAGACGACAACTGAGAAGCACCTTCTTTGTCTCTGTTAAAACTGTCAATTATGCAAATGAGTCTGTTAGAACAAAAATTTTAATATCTGAATAATGGAGTAGGCTTTCACATTACCTTTGAGGCCTGGAACAAGAATCTGAACAGAGCAGGACTCCTCTGCAATGTGTTGAGGATATCCAGATCTTAGCAGTGACAGGAAGGCAAGGCTAATTAGAGTCACCAAGAAAACCAGATCTCTCTTCATAATGAGCACTTACAGGTCACTGACTCCTAAACAAAAGAATGAATAAACAGTTGTAAGAATTCTAAAGGCTTTCAACAGTTTCTAAACCCATGCAGCATCCCACTACAAACACAATATATATTTGTGTGCCATAACCCACACAGCATGAGAAGCACATGTGCAGCTCCTCCAAGCAGGTTATATGTTGCTCAGACACACATGAAACAGGCAGCAGCAGATTTAGCAGGTTTTTTTGCTGTTAGACTTGATGGGATAAAGCCCAGGAGAAACTGAATTAAAAAGAAAGAGATTAAACAATGCTAATAATAAGCAGTTCTGTGTTCATGATTTCTCATTGGAGGCAGCTATCTGGAAAGGTGAAAGGAGATAATGCAGCATATAGGCTTAGAATCACAGAATTCCTTAGGATAGAAAAGACCTCTAAGATCATCAGCAAACCATTTACCCAGGATTGCCAAGTCTGCCACTAAGCAATGTCCCCAAGTACCACATCTACATGTCTCTGAAATATGTCCCGGGACGGTGACTCAATCACTTCCCTGGGCAGCCTGTTCCAGTGTTTGACAACCCTTTCTGTGAAGTAATTTTTTCCTAATATACGATGTAAATTCCCTCTTGCACAACTTGAGGCCATTTCCTCTTGTCTTTTTCTTGTAACCTGGGAAAAAAGACCATCTCCACCCTGGTTACAACCTCCTCTCAAGCAATTGTAAAGAGCAATACGGTCTCCCCTGCACCTCCTTTTCTCCAGGCTAAACCCCACTCCTCACAGGACTTTTGCTCCAGACCCTTCACCAGTTCTGTTGCCCATCTCTGGACATACTCCAGCACCTCCATGTCCTTCTTGCAGTGAGGGGCCCAGAACTGAAAACAGGATTTGAGGTGTAAACTCACCAGTGCCAAGTACAGGAGAAAATCACTGCCCTGGTCCTGCTGGCCACACTGTTGCTGATAAAGGGCAGAACATCATTGGCCTTCTTGGCCACCTGGCCTTGCCCTGAAAATTGTCAGTACTAAGTTCCCACTTAGAGTGGATACTGCTCTAAAAAGGCAATTCAGTAACAGATGACACCAACTCAAAGGCCTGAAAATTCACTTTGCATCTACCTGAGCACTGGAATTGTGCCCAGGCAAATTGTCTGATACAGTAACCCTCATATAAGTCATTGAGGGTGGAAGGCAGGTAATATTTCACTGTATCATTCAATAAAGCTGAATCAGAGTCTTCAATAACTCCTGAAGAGAATCACCTTTGAAACTTAGTCTAGTCTAAGCTGACAAGTGAAATGGCTTGCCTGAAATTACACTGTGAAGAGATGTCCCAGAAAACAACCAAACAGAAATAGAGTTTGTGTGAAAGGACTGTAAAAAAAACCAGTATTTAGGAGGCCTGTAAAAATACTTTGAAAAAAGTGTTATTTATGTATTTCTGATATGTTTTTCTAGGCTGTCCTTAATCAGCGCTCAGTAGTACACAAATAAGCTGAAAGTCATAACAGTTTTTTATCACCTTTTATAGCCACCATAAGGGCATATGAATTTTACATCTAGAGCAAGAAGTTTGGGCTATATTAATTTCCACTCCCTGAAACCCTTCAAAAGGATTAGGCACAGGTGTGGGACCAGTATATGGGTCTGTATGCCTCAACATATTGGGGATCTAGGAGAGCAGAACTGTTATTTTTGAGATGGCCTGAAGGTATTAACTGGCATAACAGATGTCTTAGCAGCAAGGCCAAGTAGATGATTTTGGATTTGGGGGAATAAATTGTCCCTCTGAATTACTGTCCAGTTTGTGCTTCCATTATCCCCTAGGAGACCATAGCCAGGGAATCTGATGGGAGCAGACTTTGTCTCCTTCCTCATGTGTGGAGGGCATTGCAGGAGTTACAGGCCAGGTTTCTCTGCCTCACAACCCCCTTGCTTCACCATCTGTTGCTACATCCACACTGAGGGACGAGGGATGCCACAATACACTCCTGTGTTCTTACTGATCATCCAGCTCTGGTGCAAAGACTTGTATGTGCTATGAGTTCCTTTTGATCCAAATCTTTTCCCCAGGTTTCTTTCCAAAGGAGAGAGACCTGCAGCTGGAGGACCACACCTTGAAAGATGGTATCTATGCTTTGAGTTGGGAAGAGCTCTTGGGTCAAGAGACCTCAATGCAGTCATAATCTGATGGGCTACAGTAGGGCAGGAAACTCTAGGGAAAAGGTAATGCTGGGCAATTTTCCCATGGGGCAAGAGAGGAACAGGGACTATCTGAGGATTTCCACAACCTGCCATGCAGTCCTATAATGGGTCAGGCATAAGCTACTTCACAGACAAACTTTGCCAACCAGAAAGAATACTTAGGAGATGGTGGGACTGCTGCTCAAATATTTAGGCCATGATAAGTTTAGTCACAATTGCAGCAATTATCACTTGAGGTTTCTCAAGAATACAAGGCAAAACTGACTTTTGCCACTCAAGGATGAGGAACAGGATCTAGAAGAGAAGGTACATCATAAAGCCATGCATGGATCTGTTAGAATGTGTCCAGAGGAGGGACACAAAGATGACAACCTCTCCTACAAAAGCAGATGAGAGAGTTGCAGCTGTTCAGCCTGGATGATGTCTTAAGTTTTAGCTTTCATATTTTTCAGGCTCTGTACTGCCTTAGTGTGTGACTCTGAACTTCATAGTAAGTGCTAGTAAATTCACTTCACAAGGTAGCTAGACAAAATAATCCTTTTCCAGATTAAGGACCAAAGACAACCATTGCAACCTCAGACCCAAAAAGCATAAACAACAGCAAATTAAAGAGAGCAAACCAAGAGAGTAGAACTTCATTACCTTCAAAAACTGTAATTAGACAATTAACCCCAATATATAAATAAACAAAAACTTATAAAAGTCTAAAAATTCATAACCAGTTTTCCATCTTGAGCAGAACCCCAGCCAGGCTCTTATATTACCCAAGGTATATCCTTTAAAAGCCTTTTAATAACTACCTACTTTCAAATACCTAATTTCAGCTACCTACAAAGTTTATTCCTTTAACTCTGTCTAGTCTCTGATCTAAGTCAGCCTCTCTAGGCATCATGGAAAAAAGAAATCTCAGGGGAAACATCACTGGGGCCTTCCAGTATTTAAAGCAGGATTACAAAAGAGAGAGTGGCTTTTTACATAGACAGACAGTGATAGGATAAGGAAGAATGGCTTTAAACTGAAAGAGGAGATATTTAGATTAGGTAGACAGGTGTCCCAGAAAAGTTAAGAATGCCCCATCCCAGGAAGTATTCAAGGCCAGATTGCACAGGACCCTGCACAATCTGGTCCAGTAGAAGATGCCCTACCCATGGCAGTGGAGCTGGAATTAGAAAATCTTTAAGGTCCCTCCCAACCGAAGCCTTTCTACGATTCTGTGATAAAGGTGGACATAAAGAACTGCAATAATTGGAGAGGAAAAGGAATAGTAATAGTAATAGTAATAGTGATTTGGATGCCATGAAGAAGCAGCAACCAGGCCAGATCCCCAGTGCTGTGACAGACAAAACCAGCAGGAAAACATTTGCTGTGTTGCTGAACTCTGCTTTTCTGGGCTACAGCCTCCCTTGCCTGTGCACAGGGCCAGCCACAAATACTAGAAACCAGGTCAAGTCACCAGCTACTTTACAGCTATTTTCTAAGTTTATGCAAACTATTTGACCACAGTCTTGAGATAGTTTTGAAGTATCAATCTCTGTGAGAACACTTCTCTCCAAAATATTCTCATGTGCATACTAAAATTACTTCAGAAACATTAAGCTCAAATCTGGCTACATCTCCCCAGAAGGAGATTCCTAACCCCAGGGTACAAGGAATTTGTCCACCGTGGACAGTCCTGCCTCTTTTTCCTGTCTCTGATTCACAGCAGTCATCAAACAAGAGGGAGCAAAAAAAGCTAGTCAATAAGAAAGGTTGAGGAAAAGGGTGCTTTTCCTCAAAGGTTTCTAAGGTCACTCTTGGCATTTAAATAGTCAATGCCGGTTGACTGCAAAATGAAGGGGTCCCTGGCAGGAACATGATTTGCAATGCCAAGTGAGGGACCAGCAGTCCCTCATGGAGGAAGGCTGTGGTTGCCTCAGCCAGCCAGGAGGATGGGCCTGGAAGTCCCTTTCAGTCACCCTCAGCAGCATCCACCCCTGGGACAGGGTTTGCAGGCTGAACAAGAGGATGTGGGTCCTACCTGCATTAGCCTGCAGGACCACCTACACCCCAGGAAAGCACCTGATCACCAGCTTGCAGGACATCCTAGGCAGGATATCCCACCTTCTTTTATATAGTGGGAGCACTTCAGGATTCAGAAGATCAGACAAAGAGGCTTTCAAGCTGAGTGGTTCAGATACCCAGCTGAAAGCCTAGAAATTAGGCAGTTTCAGTATGAGCACCTGGCAGACTGATAAGAATTCCTGATGGACAAATTGGAGAGTAGAATGAAATGGCCTGATGTGGAAGAAGAAATTGAAATTACAGTGGTTCATCTGTCTGTATTTCATGAGGATTTAGATGTATCCAGCTTCAGCTGAAAGATCAAAAGCTCCAGGTATGTTAAATATTAATCCACCTTTGCAAACTCTTACACAGCTCAGAGATGAGACAGACATTGAGCAGCAGAGAAATGTCAAGGCTGCTTCTTGGCTCTCCTCAGCAGCCACATATGAAGGATTTTCTGGGGAAAACAAAATCTCCAATAAAGCTTCAGCACATTCCCTGCTGTCTGCTGCTGTGCTTGCATGTCTCAGAGACAGAGGGGATACAACCCCACCCTACCACATATTAACTCAACTCACAGGGGAAATGGACTTGTTCTAGAGAAAGCTTTAATGTCATTCAGGTAACAACACCCAGATCCATAAGAATACTTGGGGAAATTACCTTGGTCTGAGAAGAGCTACTAACAAAAGGAATCTCTGAGGAGGCTGCACATTAAAAAACTCTCTAAAATCTGTGGTTGCAGTAAAGGGACTGCAATCCTTGATTAATAGTAGAAATCAAGACAAAA